CCTGTGCCTGTGCCTGTGCCTGTGCCTGTGCCTGTGCCTGTGCCTGTGCCTGTGCCTGTGCCTGTGCCTGTGCCTGTGCCTGTGCCTGTACGTGTGCCTGTGTCTGTGCCTGTGCCTGTGCCTGTGCTTGTACCCCTTCAGTATATTGTATGAGTTGGGCTTTGTACTTGGGAGACGCAATACCCTCATCCCCCCGATGGTGTGCAGCGTACATATGCGGGGTGGTCTGAGTGTGCTCCTTAGCGGCTGATGCAGTGACAGTGCGTGCATGCACCTGTGTATGTGTGTCTAGTGCACGTGTATGTGTAGATGCATTCGCGGCACCGACTGGGGCGGGTGGGGCAGCGAACTCCTCTTCGTCAGACGCACAACTGCTCTGGGAGGCTGATAGGATAAGGAGTATATATATAAGAACCGTATGAGCACGGAGGAAAATGAGAGGGTCAAACTATATAGTCTTTCGTACTAAATTAGTATATCAACGCATGACAGAGCCAGCAAGCACCCACCGGACCTCAGATTGTAAGTAAAGGCGAATATACAACATACTACTGCACACATGGACATACGTAAGTCGCACTATCAATCATAACAACACGACACATAAGCATGATAGAACTACGAACTGCCAAACAAGGCATTTAGGTGTGTGATGTTGTGATTCATAAGTCAGATGCGTACGATATGCTCCGTCACAAACACGCACAAAAATGACATTTCAACACGCCACATAAGCATGATAGTGTTGCCAAACAAGGCGTACAACCGTGATTATTATGTCAAGCGTGAGGTCATGCACGTTTGATGTCAAAACGCAAAAAGAAAGGTCAGTGTGATATCATTGTCAATCAAGGCATTGCGCATACCATTGCCAATCATACGATCAAATTCATGTGAGAACACCACACACAGACTCGATAGCAAGGTTTAGATATTAAATTTGCTCCATATGCGTCTTTTGTCCTATACCACATACCCGAGTCGTCGTCATCTGGTTTTCCGACCAAACGATTGCCCAGCGGTGTGCGCACACGGATGCCACTCCGTTTCAGATACTTGTTGACCCACTCCCGGCGCAACGTGGCCTCGGCTGAGTTGGATATCTTTATCAAGTGCTGTCAGATAAAGCAACACCGATGGAATTGTAAATGGAATGAGCGGGGTGTAAATATATCGATCGAAATAGTATTGCTGTATGGAGTATAAGAGTGGTGAGAGGTAAAATATTATCGAGTTAGAATACTAGGGTATCAAGGGTATATAATGTGAACAAGTTGAGCAGAAGGACAAAAATGGTTGAGGTGGTAGATTCGAATGGTTGAGGTGGTCGTTTGGAAGCGTTAACAGGGCATCGCCTAGGTTTCTTTTTTACTAATGTTTTAGAGGCCATCTACGACCATTTAAATTGGTGACCAATGTTTGAAGTGTTCACACATTCATATCTTCCTGTCAATTCAGAACACCAGAACTGATCGACTACAACTTTCCTACATGCGCCTCCAAGATTCCTCCCCGTACGAGTATTTCGAATGTATTTGAGCGCGTAAAGAATTAGCGCGTGTCCGTGTGCGTGCGCAACGAAGCGGTTAGCAGCAGAAAGCTTTGATATACTTTCCATTCATTCAGAAAAACTGTTTGCTGAATTTATCCTGATCGTTTGGCAGCCGCACAGCTGCCAATGCAAGCACACATATATAGACGCAAAACAGCTCACAGAAATGTATGTGTTCAACTGGAAAATACTCGCACATAGAATAAACCATTTAAACACAGCATACTTATCCGTACCCATGAATAGTTGCCTACACATGTATTGCAGTGTGTAATTCGGAGACATTTAAACACTATACAAACTAATACACCTCAACAGTATCGCGTTTCTTTTGAAGGGCATGTCTCTGTATACATGTGGAAGATACATACCTCGTTTGTACTGAATCGATCCGCAGGACGCTTTCTGTGATAAGGTTTGCGTGTAGTGATTGGTGCAGTCCTTCGAGGCGCTCCGGATTTGATGTGGGCTATGTGAATGCTACAGTATCTGGGCATCGTACAGTAGGCATGGGCATTAAGGGTCAGTACGGCGAATCGATATCTGCAGAACGATACTTTATAGTACAGATCCGCACACTATTCTGTGAGAATGTATCACTATCATTATTTAGGTTTTGTAGACGGAAATTACTTGATTTCTCCAAGACACTTGTGGCGGTTAAGATACCTCTATATCGTATTACTGAGTATCAGTGGTTGTAAAGCACAGCACACACACGTTCGCGTACCCGGCCAAAAGTCCGCACAAGACTCGCATATCGCTTAGCAGGCACAGTACAGCACGTGTACAAGCGCATATACACCTGTACATATCCTGTGTATTCACACACACAAGCGCACGTACAGTACATGTGCACATATTGTAAATGATGCTACAAGTTCACATACAGTTCAGCGCCACTCTTTGAGATCGGATTCGCACATCGTCTTCCAGATACGATATGGTTAAACGCACACTGCTTGAACGGTGCCTGTGGATCACTCAGTATGTGTTTAGTGCACAGTATGTAGCCCTTCATCGGAGGCTGATGACATGTACGACCAGTGTACTGGCATTCTGTCGAGACTGAAGTCTGGTAATGCAAGTGCATGTGTAAATAGAGATCAGTACAACACGATGTGGTATATGTGTCTGTAGCATATAGAACATGCTTGGTCTACATAGGGTTAAGTCCTACATAAAAAGTGTAGACTATGCTCACAGTAAATATATAGTGCACTACACCCATCCTTTCCACAACGATTGGCGCGATCAATGACCAGGTATTGTGCGCGAAAAGGCGTCTGGTTAGTACGCTAGCCAGATATTGTTTATACTGTTTTGCAATATAAGTATGTTTGTACAAATTTGTCAACAAAAGTGCAAGTATATATTTGACAAGATTCGACGTATACAACGACTACTTAGAGTATGTGTAGTGTATGGCAGAAAACCATATAATTTACTTTAAACATCCC